TGATTAACTGTTTGTATATTTTTTGTGCTTTCTTACAGGTGTTTTCTATATGCGTATTAAAAGTTAGCTTGTTATCCAGGGTGAGGCCCAAGATCTTAATTTCCTCGAGAGTACTCCAATGCCTCTCCGGCCATGTTTAGAGCTGGTGCGTCATATTTTAATCTGTTGGTAATTAGCATAGCCTTGGTCTTATTGGCTGCAAACTTTAATTTGTTTTTGACGCCCCAGCTCCAGACATGCTCAAGCATGGAGTTAGCCCTCTCTTGAATTTCCCGTGCTGTTTCGCCGGAGAATATTAGTAGTATATCATCCGCAAACGCCTGACAATGCTCACCTTTTCTTGCAATCTCTTGCAGCAGGGGATTCAGAAGGAGGTTCCACAGAGTTGGACCTCCGATGGAGCCCTGTACGCATCCCTTGGACGTTTCTTTTTGCCACTCAGCTCCGGCATATCTGACGCGTACTGTTCTATCTTCAAGATAATTATCTACCATACGCCTCAGATTTACCGGGCACGCGGTCTCCGCTAGCCTGCAGCGAATGGCAGGCCACCAAGCATTGTCGAAGGCCCCCTCTATGTCCAGTGATACAAGCACTATTAGTTTTTTATGTTTTATCTCTGACCTAATAAGCTGTATCATGTCATAGAGGGAGTCCTCCGTGCTACGCTGTGGGAGGAAGCCATATTGTTTCTTGCTGATAGCTGGAGTGGTGTACCATTTTATCCGTCTTATCAACATCTTCTCTAAGATCTTTCCGAGAACTGGCAGGAGACCTATCGGCCTGTAGGCTTTTGGATGCGTATAGGATTCTTTTCCCGGCTTTCGCAGGGCGACGACAACTGCCTCCTTCCACTTCCTGGGGAAGCATGACAGTTGTAGGCACTTATTCACTATGGCCAGGAAAATTTCGGGGTCCTTGGTAATGGTGTTCTGGCATATGTCTGCTGTAAATCCATCGCTGCCAGGTGCCTTTTTCGGATTGAAGTTTGACGCGGCCCAAATGAGTTCTTCTTTGGTAAACGGGGGGTCGCATGTTTCACCATGCACCCTTTTATTGACCCTGTTTGCCGCCTCTCTTACTCTTTTTTGTTCCGCATCATCAGGTTAGGTTAGGTTAGGTTAGGTTAGGCTAGGTTAGGCTAGGTTAGGGCTAGGTTAGGCTAGGTTAGGCTAGGTTTTTTTTTTTTTTTTTTTTATTTCCCCCGACATGTATAATTCAGGGACTTTATTTCACATGGTTTTTAGTTTTCTTCTAATTTTCAATTTGTTCTTATAATTTTAACATTTAACTATCGTTTAACCTTATCGTGACTGTTATCCTATTTGC